TTTCCTCAGCCCTTTAGACTTCCCCATATTTCCTCCAAAAGAACAGTGAATAAAAAAGCTTAAAACTCTTAAGATGTTTGAGGGAGTCTGTTTCACAGTTCTTAATGTTGATACTGGGAAAATTTTAAGCCTTAAAAACAAATTCACATCTCTTTTGATGATAATTTGGTCTCACATATATCTTACTTTACAAAAAATGATGAGATTTTAGTACTAATAATAGTTACAATAATAATAATAATAATAATGGATTTCTGCCAAAAATATCAGCATTCTAAATGATACTTGTCTTTACAGAATATTGATCTACATTTTGTCTAAATCATCTGTGAATTCAGATTATCTTCTGAAATAATTATATAAGGTTATTACTTATCTAAGTAAGCAATCACTATAAATTTTATAAATATGTATGTATACTCATAAGTCTATATGTATATGATATACATATCAATATACATATATGTATATCATATACATATAGACTGTGTTCATTGGTTACATAATTTTGGCCGCACAGGTTGAACTTCCCAGATACTTGCCTACGTCAGAGCCTTTGTATCTGCATTTCCCTCTGCAGTGAGGATCTAGCCTCCAGTTTGCATCCTTCCTGTCCTTTAGGTCTTGGCTCAGATATCATCTCAGAGAAGCCTTCCCTAGCCACTTTTGTTATGAACTGAATTTTGTCCCTTCAAAATACATAAATTGAAGCTCCAATCCTCAGTGGAACTGTATTTGGAAATAAGTGCTTTAACAAAGTAATTACAATTAACAAGAACATATAGTGGAACCCTAATCTGATGAAGCTAGTGGTATCTTTATGGAAACAGGAGGAAGATACCAGGAGGGCACATGCACAGAGAAAAAGCCATGTGAAGACAAAGCAATAAGGCATCTATCTACAAGCCAAGGAGAGAAGCCCCCGAGAAAAACTAAACCCAGTTAACCTTGATCTGGGACTTCCAGTCTCCAGAACTGTGAGAATAGAAATTTCTGTTATTTAAGCCACCCAGGCTTTATTTTGCTTTTTATTATTATCACCCAGGTGATATTTTGTTATGGCAGCCCTGGATGTCTAATACAGCCCCACTCCATTTGTCTTCTGTAGCACTTTTACAAATTTGAAATATTCTATTAATTCACTTATTTACTTGTTTATTGTCAGACTGTCCTTTTTAAGGCTAGAGAACTTGTCATTCATGCCTTATACCTATGCCTGGTATCTGGAAGGTACTCAATAACTAACTGTTGAACAAATAACCAAGTATGCAAAAGCAACAGTGGACTGGGCATTGTGGGTAATGGAAAACTATGGGATGCTAATCTCTGTTGTTTTTTTTTTTATTCAGTAGATTGTTATTTTTAATCCCAAGAGGAACACTGTAACTTCTCAAGAGTTAAAAATCCAAGTGTTTATAGGAGTCAAGTAGATGTTGTAAGTGAATATGTAACTTTATGCAAATAAAACTGAAAGGTTTTCTCCATTCTCTATTTTATATTGGGGTACACAGCAAAGTGGAGAATGCATTGCCAACCTAAAGACTACAGCTGCTTCTGAGTCAACTACTCCCATGAGCCCAATGTTGTCAGATCTAATATTAAAAAGAAGTAAAAAATCGACATTTTTACGTGAAATCTTATGATTTAAAAAAAACGACAACTACTTAAAATTTGTATAAAATACTGCAGGCCAAAACCAACAATAAAAAAATAATAAAACGAAAAGTATGCAGAGGTAGACAAGAGGACTTCAAGGAGATCTGAAGCTACTCTAGCTAAAGATGGCTCTCCTTTCACGGCAGGTACTGGAGGCCCTGCCCAGAAGAACGTGACTTCTCCACACTATATAATCTCTCTTTTCTTTCTCCCTCACTCAGCCTTATGCTCTACTCCTACGCACCTCAGCTTCCTTTTCCTTTCTTCTTCATTTCTTCTCTCCTGCTTTTGCCTTACAGCTGCCAATATCCTTGCCTTGCAACCAAAATTCCTGAAAAAATTCATTTCTGATCCAAAGAGGTGGGGGATAGGAACACAGGTGCTACTCAGGGATAATTACTTCCTACTCTCAGACTTAAGAAGAGCATTGTTGAGGGGAAAAAAAAACACACACATCACACAGAGGGAGCTGCCATCTTTGTGTACTAGGATAGAGAACACAATAAAATGCTTGCTACCATTTATTAAGCTGCCACAAAATGTTAGCAATTTTGGAAAAAAAATTAGTTAAATGTTTATTGAGTGTTTGCTCATGTAGTGAACTCTATACTCAATTGAAATCAAGAAAAGTGCAGATAGCTCCCATAAGTCCTTTCACAAAGGTTCAGGAATTCAGAAACTATAAATCATGAAGCAAGGCCATATTGAATTTACTTTCAAAATTCTGGAGCCTCTGTTACTTTCCAATTCTAGTTTCTGCTTGTCTGGCTTTTATTTTGTCACTTCTGCATATCTCTTAAACCAAAAATTCTTGTGTTTGTCCTCGGAGTTGGCGAATATGAGGGAAAGATGAAAAGCTTAGTTTCCACTCTTGGTGTGGTTGTATCTTCACATAGGAAGAGGAACGAGGCTTGGAAAGAAGAACCTCAAGAGAAAATGTAGAGACAGGAGAAAAAAAGGGAATTGGTTGGAGGGGAGTAGGCTGAGACCAATGAGGACAGCTTGGGTCTAAGGTGTGGGAACTCAGATGTGATTCCCATTGAGTAAAATTAAAAGTGGGAAAATTAGGAAGTCCCCAAATAGTTATCTGTTATTTTTATTATTATGTGAGTGAGCTAAATGGATCTTTCTCATTTCACTACCCCATTGCCCTATTTGTTTCTAAAATCCTGCCTAATTCCCTCAAAGCTCTTTTGATTCTCAGATGATGTTCCTGGGACTTACCCTCTCCTTAGAAAAGCCCTTTCCTCTTCATTTTTCACTTAGACCTAGTGATTTAAGTGACCCAGTGGTTTAAGTGAATGTCTGATCACGTATTGGTGGTAATGACTGAGCATCCATACTGCGTTCTTAATCGTGCTTTCAGGTGGAAGTCTAAATGCAGTACCCTTATTCCCCCAACTAGCACAATGATGGGCAGAGGTGAAACTCAATTAACTGAGTGGGACTAATTAGTGGGACTTCATTTGTTAATATATAACAATGATGAAGCTGAAGCTCCAACACTTTGGCCACCTAATGCAAAGAGCTGACTCATTGGAAAAGACCTTGATGCTGGGAAAGATTGAAGGCAGGAGAAGGGGATGACAGTGGATGACATAGTTGGATGGCATCACTGACTCAATGGACAAGAGTTTGAGCAAGCTCCAGAAGATGGTGAAGGACAGGGAAACCTGGAGTGCTGCAGCCCATAGGATCACAAGGAGCCGGACACGACTGAGTGACTAAACAACAAACAAATGAACGAGTGTTTTTTGTAAGTGGGTCTTTAAGTTTCTCAAAATGTTCTTACTTTTATATACTATAACTGTCGTATATTTCTTATTGGAAATTATGACTCAAATTCCAAAGTGCAAATGCAACTCACCCTTGCCTCTAGACATGGAGGCAGGTTTACCATAAAATCCACATACTTTTCCTTGACGTTTTTTTTTAAGCCACCCTGAGCAGCACACGGGATCTTAGTTCCCCTAAAATCCACACACTTGTGTTCCCCACACATTTGTTTCTGATGGAGCAAAATGTCCATTTCAAGTATTGGGGGGTTTCCTTTAAAAATTAGGAGTAATTTTTGCATGTATTAGCATTCAAAGAATCAATAGGATAGGACCTAATCCACTACCTGACAACTGCTGCTCTGGGGAAAATATGGCCTGAAAATGAGGTGAGACACTGATCTGAAAACAATTTTAACTTGACAAAGTACAAAAAAATACGGACTCACACATCTTTTTCAATCAACAGCCTCAGAATAATCTTGTGCTAGCAGAGAGGAATGAGTATTGAAGATCTACACTGAAGAAACATTACCTTTATCTTATTTGTTAACCTCCTCACTTTGTAATTCTGTGAAAATCCCATGAGCACTTTTAATTTTTCAAAGTATTTTCCTATATTTCATTTTTAAAGCAATAAATAATTCATAACTCATATTTTCTTTGGCTAAAGGCTTGCCACTGTTCTTCCATTATTGTCAGGTAGCTTTTAACCAGGGGTATTTCCCACTTCAGCTATCATAAGCTATCACAAGCTTTTAATGTTGGTGCAAACATTTTTCCTTTCCCTAGACTACAGAGCTAGACATGTTATTATTGTACATTTTTCCTGTTTTAGATCTTAATCTTCTTTACATAGTTTCATAAAAACCTATGTCCCTAATATCACAGAAAGGTTTATAAACAGTCTTAATTTAAATCCAAACTAGCCCCAACATCAGTCTCCTGAATTTCAGCAAAGTGAAATCAATGTTATCTAAGACTGTTTAAAAAGAATCAATTTAAAAACTAAACATAATGCTTGCTTAATAATATTTAGTCTTCTAATTTGATTTTCTTGGCTTTTGCATCCAGAACAACAATTTCACTTTTTCTATGCAGCTATTCCTGAGATCTCTATTCTTGACTGCCTCCCTAAATTTTTGGAAAGACTCATAATAAAAATTTCCATAGGTTCTGTTTTAACTTTTCCATTCTTACTCATCTTTACTTTCCATGAGGCAATCCAATAATGAAAAGCAATGTTAGTTAAAAATATTGTCTCTAAAGGCCTGTCAAAGCTTGGAATTTAGCATGTATTTTGGAGAGACACCGGGGTGTTACAGAAGAGTGCTCAGGTTTTTCTATTGCAGAAGTAATACTGGAAACCTCTTCCTACCTATGCCTTCAATTCCTTAGTGATTCTGGTTGCTCAACAACATACCTGGGAGTTTATATGTCTTCTTAGAAATAACAGAGTTACTTTGGAAAATAAGCACTTAGGAAAGGCTCAATCTCTTGTGACCATGCACTAGTGCTTTTTTCCAAAACTGTTCTAGGCAGACCAAGCAAAATAGAGAAAATTCTTACCTCTTGAAGGACGTAAGACAATACACATCACCAACAAAGCAAGCACAGCAGAAGTGGCAACTCCAAATACAATTTTTAACCATGTCTACATAAAATAAAGAAAATTAGAAATATAAATGGTTTCTGCTAAATAGTAGAAATGGCAAGATTTTGTTTACGCATAAACCCGCTTTCTCCCTCCCCATAAAGCTTTTGATTGTCTTCCACTGATCTGGCTATAATTGCTGGAATTCTTCCAGCTCTGCAAGGAGAAATGTTTCCACAGTATATTTAGAACAATTTCCCAATCCTAACCCACTCCAGGAAGTACATACTTATGTACAAATCCTCACCTTCTAAACAATAGAAAACTCTGATTGTGCTCAATTCAGCCAGCCCCTATCCTTTAGCAGTATCTGTGGCTGCATATACTAACCTTCATTTTTCCAGATGTTTTTGAAAGTTAGCTAATTCTGACTTCAGAGCGTGGGTCACCAGATCTGTGAAAACCGTTGAAAGAAGTAGGTCTGTCTTCGCAGTTGGAAGTCGAAGCTAGGGCAAGTTTTTTTTTTTTTTTCTTTCCACGGACTTTCGAAAACAGTGCCAAATTTCAAAAGATTTCTGTAAAATTAGAAACAGATTTTGGGGGCGTTCTTGGCCTTGAAATGAACTGTGAGTGGCTCAAGGGAGATTTTATAGCCTTCTTAACCTTGTAAATTCTACACCAACATCTGCTTACGCTGACATACAGAGGTTTTTTAAAATATTTTTTTAACAAGTTTAGGTTTATGTTTCATTTTCTTCTAGAAATCACTTATGAATCATATTGGAAAGTCATGGGGTTTTGGATAACCTTTCTATTTGCAATCAAAAGAAGAATTTAAAATATAACTTTAAGGTGTATATAGTACACATATATCTAAATTTTAGCAGAGGAAGAAAATTAAAGCCACATAAGATTTTGTAAGAAAGACTCCATGTTACTGCAATTTTTCTTTCTCTGGGAGATTATGAGGTACTGCAGACAGAAATGTTTTTCTTTCAGCACAATTTCTTTGTCCATATAGCACCATATGCACTTTCAGTAAATACAGAAGTTTAAAAATTCAACTGTCTAAACCCACGACTGCTTTACTTTAAAGAAATAAAATGCCATCTGGTGAAATTTAGTATGGGTTAGGTGTGTATGCACAGGCCAGAAAGATGGAAAGATCAGTAAGAATAATTTACCAGCAGACCTTTGAAAGAATGAACATGGCTTTGCAAAAGTGATATTTTTGCTTCCCTCTCAGAATATATTCTGAGAGAGAACAGTTAGTAATTATAAAGCCTTTAAAATAAATAAAAAGCATTTGAAAAAAGAAGTAAGTCATATGTACAATTTCATTTTGGCTAAATTTGCATAAATCCCAAGCCATCGGTCAACCTAACATCATCTGACATCAATCTGAATTAAAACACACACACACCCACATGCACCCACACATACCAGTTTATTAGTGTATGTTGGCTGGTTCAATGTAACTCCTTTGGATAGATTCTGTTGTTCCTCATAAATACAGTTGTTAACCTACTATTTCCCCCGCCCCCAACTCACAGGTCTCAACCTGACTAAAACAAAATTTCATGGTGAACTTTCATGGATTCTTCATGAACAATAATGAGGAAATGTTTCTGAAATCTTTTGCTGTTTGCTTTAGTCAATCGGTCTGACTACCATGGAAGGTTTTCTTCAGCAAAGTGCAGGACAGTGGCTTGTGAACTTCCTTTCAGACATTCTCCAGACATCCCTCCCTGAATTCCAGCCTTATGAAAATTCTGTTGAGGAAAATGAGTCATGAAGCACTTACTGGCAGAGAGATGTAGCCACCCCAGGTTGGAGAGGCACCCCTCCCTCCTTTGCAGTTGATGGGGCCAGCTCTTTGCAAACTGGAGCAATCATTGAGATAAACATCCAAGTTGTGCTATATACTTGTAGGCATCTCCGTGTGCTTGTGAAATCCTCAAATCCAAGATAAAAGCCACCAGCCAGGTTCCAAATGAACTGCTGCTACCATGTGGGTCCTCTCACATGTATTGCCTTCTTTGGAAAGTTCACACAGCGCATTCTCAGAAGTTCTGTTCCAGCTGCCAAGGCTCCAAAGTCTCCAAGTGCTTTTTAGTGAGTTATTTCCACGACTTTACATCCTGAAGAGAAACTGACTGTAGTAAATGATTAGGGCATAATTAAAAGGGTTACTCTTGGCTTTAGCAATTAAAAATGCCCTGACATGTGACTGGCCTGGGTACCACTTAGGACTGTAGTCAAGTGTGGGTGTCTATAAGAAACCCATTTGACAGAATCTAAGAAGAAATCTGAGTGCTTTAAGAAGAAAAAGTTTTGATTGAAAGTTTCAGTGAGAAGGGAAAATATGAGGCTAAAACATGTTTCTGTAGTTTTGTTTGTTTTTTCCTTGGATGGTTGGGTAATTCAAACTGCAAATTTTAGAAGATTCTGACTGGTTTGAAAGGTTCCAAGAAAAATGAGACTGACTACAGAAATAAAGGTGAGTTAGGGATACATTGCTTATAACAGAACTACACATATCCATCCCTTTGAGATTTTTCTAAGTGTTCAATTTTCATCCAAATAAGTACTCCCACAAAAATAACTTACATTCTTTTAATATTATAGCATCTTTACTGACTTTTTCTCCTTTTAGAGTCAAATGCAAATGCCTATGCTAACATTTTTTAAACATTAAGGAAACAATATATCCTTGTTTTATATAGTTAGTTAACATCCAGTTAACATTTTTTTGGGGGGGAAATAATTATGAATAAGCCAGGGGGTGGAAATAATTATGAATAAGCTATGGTCTGTGTCTTCAGGAAACTTACATTCTTCTACAAGCCTGGCAACTGTGTGTGTGTGTATGTGTGTGTGTGAACGCTTACTCATGTCAACTCTTTATGACCCCTGGACTATATAGCCCATCAGGCTCCTCTGTCTATAGAATTTTCCAGGCAAGAATACTGGAGTGGGTGGCCATTTCCTCCTCCAAGGGACTCCTCCAAACCCAGGGATTGAACCTGTGTTTCTTGCCTTTCCTGCATTGGCAAGTGTATTCTTTACCAGTGCGCCACCTGGCAAGTGAGTCCTTACATATTCGTTCCTTTTCCTTTCCTGGAGCCCTTGCTGAGAATGACCCTGAAGCTGGCTTTGTGTTTCGTAGAAAAAAGTGCTCAAGAGTGCCCTGGTGGGTTTGTTGATTGCTACATGGACCCAGGAGGAGAGACAGAAAGTAAACATGGCACATGTTTGTGATCCTTAATTCAAGTCTAAGTCTTATTTTTATTGAGACTGAGACTTTCCTCATTTAGCAATCCTAGACCCATTCACTGCTGATAAAATGGAAAGTATGACTTTGGCCTATAAACAATTAAGAGCAAGTATTAGGATACTAGAGACTAAAGTGAGCTTTTTCGAGAGATGGAACTTATATGTTTTCATTTAAAATATGACTGCATTTTAGTAAGTCCACTGGATAAGTTAACTATAACATAAATCCTTAGCTTGCTATTTAGTAGCAATAGAACTATTTAGTAATAGCTACTGTGTCTGCCAAAAATGATTTTGATTTAGATGTTTTCCCAGAAAACACATTCAGCTGTATATTCCTTGAGTGTGAAGGTTAAGACAATGTTAAAAGCATAAATAAGGATTTTGTCTTTTTAATTTGGGGTAGGGAGATAAAGAGAGATGCTTTCATTAATCAAAAGTTGAAACATATTATTAAGGTTGAGTAATAACTCTAAAATAAAAATTTGCTCCTAAGAAGGCCATGTCTGTCCATTTGATTTCTCACATTCAGTAAAAATTTCCTGTCAACTGTTTTGTACAAAGTGCATTAATACATTTCCTTTAACTCATACAAAACCCATTTTAATGATTAGGAAATGGAGCCCTGAAAAATTAGGTAACTTGCCCGAGACTCCAGCAGGAACCATTGTTACTATGGTATATTGATTCTTTCTGATAAGTCCTGAAGTTGATTCCAAAGCTTATTTATTTTTTTAATTTTTAAAAATATATTGATTCCAAAGTAATAAATATATTTTTAAAATTTAAAAAAATAAATAAGTAAAATTTTAAATTAATATCTCACTGAGTTTTCTGTTGAAAGGTATCCAAGTATGATGGTAGAACAATTAGAGCTAAAATACGTGTAGTCCTCACATCTTCAGAGAACATTGTTACACATGACTCCAAAGATCTCAGTCTTACTCTATAGGGTCTGCGTCCAAAATATAGGTCTAGTAATCAGAGCAATAGTTATACAATGCCTAGGATCAGAAAGTATCCTTCCAGTGATCTGTTTAAATTAAGGGATTCATCAGAATATCCATTATCAAAGATATGAGATCTAAGCTAAGAAGAGCTAATATCATCAAAACTCAGAGCAACTGTTACATAATTATAGATGTGGAAGATGTGATGTAACAGCATTGATGACAAATGATACAGCTTAAATTAATTTTGAATCTGATCTATTTTCTAAAACTCCAGTTATTACATGAGGGAGAATGTGAAGCAATATGCCTCCTGGTTTGTAATTGATACCTACTTTCTTAATAAATGTTATAATTAGATGCCAGTGTTTGCTTCCCTCTAATAATTAGGGCAAGGTCTCCTTGGTGGCCCAGAGAGTTAACAATAAAGTTGGATTAGGAAATAAACAGTAGAGAAACAACATATTTCTTTGGGTGTTTAGATGTAGGTTAAAAATGCAAATATTACATTTTCCTAGAAGTAATAAATCAGTAGGTTTGATTAGATTAAGTAGTTTAAATTAAGTGTGTGTTTTGTACACTTTGATAAAACTTACTAAAGACTGCTATTTCACTAGTATTTTTACAGTAGAGATTATTACTATTAATAGGTAATGCTTATTGAATACATGTTAATCCTGACATTTTTCTAAGCACTTTACTTGTACTTTCTCATTACACCTTCAGAACATGAGTACCATTATGTTCTTCATTTGAAATACAAGGGCATGGATGCAAAGAAGATTTAAGTAACTCCCTCAAAGTTACATAGCTTATGATTATGTGTTCATGAGCTATGTGGGTGGTAGAGACACGACATGAACCCAAACAGTCTTACCCTATAACTCAATTTGATTGGTCCATGTTAAGCTAGGAGGGTATATGTATGTAGAGGTGTAGTGATGAGGTGTGTAATCAAGACTGGATCTAGGAGAAGGTGAAACAGAAGGAAGAAATTAGATGGATATCTAATAAGCTGGATATCTTGATGAGACCAGTGATAGAATAGGACATAAAGAAGTTGTTATCAGAAATGAGCAGGTTTCAGTTTAAGATTTCAGTGCAAGGTGCTGACAAGGGTGTGGGTGTGGATACAGAAGTAGGTGGCTAAGGTAGAGGAAAGAGGTGAAGGTACCTATACGATAGTTGCCGAACACTGAGAGGTGAGGGAATCATTTGGGATGTATATGGGAGTTTAATTGATTCCATAGTATGGCAATAATTGAGGAGGGGGAAGAAATACATTGAGTCACATTCTAAACTGTTTATAAAAGAATTATAGAGATTCTCAGATCACTTCATTTCACATCAGGTCGAAATGGTAAAATGAACATATATATCAGTTTCTTTGCTTTCTAAAACACTGTTAAACTGATTGGAAAAGGAAGAAAAGGATAAGACATATAACAATGGAGAGATGGAGAGAGCATGGGATGGCAGAGCAGAAATAGCAAATGTCTGGGATACATCTAGAAAGGGACTTGCATGGAATGGTTCCAGAATTGAAATGACATTTCCCACTGAGGGTAGGAGAAAGAAATGGCACTGGGAAAAAAGGGAGACTAGTTAGATATGCATGTATGGATACTTCACCTCTGGATGCAAAACAATCTGCAGTTGAGCATTTATTCTAGGCAAAAAAAATAAAAGATTTAAGAGATATTGAACTATTTGTGGGGAATGTGAGAGGAACTTGCTGGGAATCAGTGCAACAAAGTAAATTCAGTTCTTCAATTCAATGGATTCCTGACTGCTTATCCTTAAACAAAACCCACCAGCCAACAAGCCCCACCTGCATACCAAGTTCTCTCTGATTGTCCCTCATTCTTATATCTACTATGAAAATCAAGAATAAGTAGAGAAGAATAATATTTTTTTTAAAAAAAGAAGACTCAAAATCTTAAAATGTTAAAGAAAATATAAAGACACTCAGACAATGAAGTAAGAAAAAAAATCTCAAGAAAAATAGGGAAAAACAACCACAAAGATAATTATGAGAGCAAAAGCAAAGTGAAGTGACATGAAGTCGCTCAGTCATGTCCGGCTCTTTGCGACCCCATGGACTGTAGCCTACCAGGATCCTCAGGCCATGGGATTTTTCAGGCAAGAATACTGGAGTGGGTTGCCATTTCTTTCTCCAGAAGACAACCATTAAAACTTGAATTCAGTAATCCCTCTTTTGGTTCATGTCCAAAGGAAGTGAAGACAGGATATCAAAGAGGTATCTTCATTCCCATGTTCATTGCAACACTATTCACAATAGCCAAGATATAGAAACAACCTAAGTGTCACATCAAAAGATGAATGGGTAAGGAATTATGGGTGTACATATACAATGGGCTTCCCTGGCGGCTCAGATGGTAAAGAATCTGCCTGCAATGCAGAACTGGGTTCAGTTCCTGGGTTGGGAAGATCCCCTGGAGGAGGGCGTGGCAACCCACTCCAGTATTCTTGGCTGGAGAATCCCCATGGACAGAGGAGCCTGGCAGACTACTATCCATGGGGCGTCACAAAGAGTTGGACATGACTTAATGACTAAGTGCACAACATATACAATGGAACATTATTCATCCATGAGAAAACAGGGATCCTGCCATTTACAGTTAACAACGTGGATGGATCTGAGGGGCGTTACGCAAAGTGAAATAACCTCAATAAAGAAAGACATATATGTCGTGTTTTCATTTATATATGAAATCTTTTTTAAAAAAAGTCAGACTCAGAAATAGAGTAGAAAAGTGGTTGCTGGGTGAAACAGGGAGAGCTTGGTAAAGGATACAAGATTTCAGCTATAAGCTGAATAAGATTGAGGTGACATTTGTGCTTCCTATCTTTTGTTCCTCTTTTAGAACATTTACTCTGCAGCACAATAGGGAAAAGTGGATAAATGGTAAAACAAAACAAAACAAAGCAGTTTACTCAGGCAAATTCATAAATGATAAAAATATAAACATGATGCTAAATTTGCTAGAAATCAAAGAAATGCAAAATAACATAATCAAATTGGATATTTTTTATTTATTGTATTTGAATCTGACTCTTCGCAACCCCATGGACTGTAGCCTGCAGGCTCTTCTATCCATGGGATTCTCCAGGCAAGAATACTGGAGTGGGTTGTCATTTCCTTCTCCAGGGCATCTTTCCAACTCAGGGATCTAACTTGAGTCTCCTGAATTGACAGGCAGATTCTTTTCCACTAGTGTCACCTGGGAAGCATTTATTGGATTAGCAGAGATCAAAAAATGGTAGCAAGGTCACAGAGAAACAGGCACTCTCATGATCAGCTGCTGGCAGAGAAAAATACCACTACAGACTTTCTGGAGGGCAGTCTAGGAACAAACACCAAAATTACACACTTCCTCCGGGACAGCAATTCTACCCCTGGGAGTATACTTTAAAGATGACATCGAATAAAATGCAAATACAAGAGTATTGTTGAAACTCACTTTACAATATCCAGAAACTGAAAAGCATCTAAAAGCCCATCTAGAGGGAATTGGACAAATCCATTATGGAAGATAAGAAAGTGAATGTTGTAGGTCTAAATGTGTTGACATGAAAAATGTCCACAATCAATCGTTCAGTTTGTATGGTATGATTTTCTTTTTTGTGAAAAGAAGAGAGAAAATGTTTATGTAGGGATATATGTAGTAGAAACTCTGGAAATATATGTGTCAGAGCACTGGTTACCAAGTGGGGGCATGGAGGACATACTTTACCCTGGAAGCAGAAAAAAGGGAATGCATATCTATAACATATTTACAAACAACAAAACCTACTAAATCAATCTGCTTTTTCTTATCACCATACCCAGCAGTTCTAAACAATTTTAGTAATAAATCTCCTTTTTCCTAAAGCAGGTCATCTCACTCTCACCATATCCCCCTCTTGTTATGCCATTCCATCAAAAGTTAAAAAGTGGGGACTTCCTTGGTGGTCCAGTGGTTAAGATTCAGAGCTTCCACTGCAGAGGGCACAGGTTCAATCCTAGGTTGGGCGACTAAGATTGTTCAGGCTGCACAGTGCAGCCAAAAAAAAAAAAAAAAAAATCGTATCCCAGTGAGAAAATAAAGTTACAACAGAGGGCCAACTGGTCAAGAAAATTGTGTGAAAGCATATGTCTTTGCAAGAACAAAAAAATATATCCTGTGTGTTTACTATGCGAAGTCTATGATGTCAAGTTTAAGACCTTATCATCCTTGTTCTGGTCTATATCTGTACTCTCTACTTTTCTACCCTACCTCATCACTGACAGTTCAGCCCCTGGTCTATTTGGGAGACTCTCTGTCTACACACCTGCCAGTCCATGCCACAGACACAAACTTTCCCTTTCACGAATATAGGTTTTTTCTTGAGTCTTATTCCCATGACAAATTTGAATTTCAAAAGAGAAGAGATAATTATGCTGTGCTTTAATATAATGAATATCTTAATGGTAGTGAACGTAGGCAGCTTGGCTGACTGATGGGGAAATCACATAATTTCTTTAGGAAGTAGATTTTAAAACAGGAAAGGAACTGGGAGGCAAAACAGGACTTTGGGGAGCACATCTTAGGCCACATCATCTATGAACCTACCAACTGCTACTATGAGTAAGGCCAGGTCTCCTAGGTTTTCAAGAGATAAATCATATGCTATTATTAAAAAACAAAACAAAACCAAAAAACAACAACCCAACTGGCATAGACCTGAAATCCATGTAGTCTTAAGCCTTTATTTTTCTCATTTCTAATAGATAGCATCAGGAAAGATTTATAATAGAAAGTTAGATTTCTGGATGAGAAAATAGGAAAGACATTGCCAACGTGAGCTCAAGGTTTTGCTCAAATGTCACCTTCTCAATGAGGCTGAATCACTCATTTAAAATTTATTTCTCTTAGCCTCCAGTTTTTCTTAGTTACTCTTCCTTTTTCCCACAGATTTTACCATTTCCAAATATCCTGAAATATGTGGTATGTATGTATATATTATTTTTATTGCTTATTCCCCTTGATCTCATATCTTATCCCTAGTTTTGGCTTGTTTCACTCATATAGCCAAAGGACATAGAAACAATGTTTGGTGGATAGTAAGTGCTGAATAAATATTGCTATCTGAATGAATGAATGAATAAGAATATAGAAGATCAGGAGCTCACCAGCTCTCCCTGTGGGCCTGAGATAGATACCACTCAAGGGGAACACCTCTACATGTGATCAGTAAAGAGAAAACGGGAACCTTTCTTCTTCCAGCTAAACTCTGAAGTCTTCACAGCCCATGAGAGTTCTCCCTTGTGGTCACCCAATTTTACTTAACTGATGTCTGTTTATTAATCCTGTTTATTAATTTTTTACACCAGGAACTTTTAGTTTAAAAAATATATATATATATATAACACACTAATTGTAAAGAACCTGCTTACCAATTCAGGAAACATAGATATGTAGGTTTGATCCCTGGGTGGGGAAGATCCCCTGGAAGAGGGCATGGCAAACCCACTCCAGTTTTCTTGTTTGGAGAATCCCACAGACAGAGCCTGGTGGGCTATAGTCCACAGGATCACAGAGTCAGACACGATGAGGCAATTTAGCACCCATGCATAATTTCATGGGTATCAAATATTATCCTCAATTTTTAAAGCCATCATTAGATTAATACCTAGAGATCTAGAAAAAAATCTTTGTGAGGTTCATGGGCATTTTTGTGAGGTTATAAGACATTTTTGATGTATTATTGGTTTACAATATTATACATTTCAGGTGATTCACTGTCTAAAATGAAAGTATCCCCTCCAGTGACAACTAGCCACATGTGTTGATTGAGTCTGAATGGTCAAGTTCAAATTGAGATGGACTAGAAATGTAAAATACAGACAATATTTTGGAAACTTAGTAGGAAAGAAAATTATTGTGAAGTATCTTATAATTTTATCTTGGTAACATCAGTATACTATTTTTGCTACATTGAATTTAATAAGTTATTACGTGGTCTGGAGTCCATGGGGTCGCAAAGAGTCGGACACAACCGAGCGACTGAACTGAACTGAACTGAAAATTAATCTCACCTGCTATTGGCAGCATAGCTATTGACAAATTTTAGATTAATTATGTGCATCACGGGTATTGGACAGAGCTGGTCTAGAAAAATCTTAAAGTCTAACCAAGGTGTCGTGATCTCAAGCCATAGCCTCAGACTGAGCAGCACTTGAAAGGGCTGCAGAATAAAGAGTACAGAACTATCTCCTCCACGTTATTAGAAATTCATTTCCCTGGCCTAAGTAAAATGGGAGGTGTCCCAAGCATCTTATTTAGCTTTTAAAAGACCAAGATAGCACGTGGGTCATATAGCCGGTGTGCCCCCATTGGTAGAGTGGGAATGGATGGAAGAAGTAACCAAGATGCTTTGTGCTATCCTCCATGGTAACCAGAGCCTCAGGGAGAGAAAAAGTTTGCTTTATTCGCAAATCAAGAGATTCTGACTCATTTCAAACCTTTTCCTCAGGACAAAGGAATTGCATCCACCACAGCTCAGTGATCTGTGTGGGTGGACCAGGAACAGCTGGAGCCCAGTGAGCAAGTTCTTGGATGCAATGAAACAATTGTTCCATATGCCAGGAACATGACCACACGTGGCACTAGATGATGGCCAAACAGAATTATGAGTCACATTGAGAACAAAAATAAGGTAATGTAAAGAAATGACTTGTATTTCTTTCTGTCACCAACTGTGTTGTCCTTTTGTATTTCTTTGCTGATTGCCATCAATTCGATGCCAGCCATGTTTTCCTCAGCTCGTGATGTTATTTCAGCAGCATCTAGAACCAGTCATTTCTCTCACTCTCCCCGCCAAAGATCAAGTACAGATTTCCATCACCTCACCCCGAATGACTGCAGCCGGCTCCTTCCTTCATCTTTCTCCTTCCAGTTTTTACTTCTTCAATGTGATTAGGTTAACTCCCTGAGTTACTCCACTGCTCAAAAAACTAGAATGACTTCATTTGTACTGGTTACCCAGTCAAGCCCAGACTCAGTCTGGTTTTACAATAGATGCGCAAAACACATTCATTTTTCTTCTCCCTTCTTCCTCATTACCTCCATTTAGAACGTATGTCCTACTCTTTCCCTTTTAAAATTATTTTAAAGAACTATGAACATCTATTCTACACAAGGCATTATTCAAATTCCTTATTACTCTAATTCAGAAGTTTTTCTTAATCCCTGACTTTTCAGAAGTCTAGAATACCTATAGTTTGTATACCACACAGTTGTTGTATACCCATATTTTTTCCGACAATTTTGTATCTATAGTCACTGAACTCTCAACCAATTTGTTAACTCGCTAAGGTCAGAGATTATACCTTATATTAATAGTTCAAGTCAGGAAAGGAAATTAATATTTACTGAACGCCTGCTTAGTGTCAGTCACTCTAAAATATGTTCAACATTTGTTATCCAGAATTTCTCTGTATCCACTTTTCTTTGTGTGTGTGCTCTCCCTTCATTGTTTCCATATTTCCCTGCCAGACCGCCTTGATGTCTGATGCCAAATAACACCAACTCAAATATGTAATAAGCAGATTTACTGGTGTTTTGGGACAGTGATGGTTGAATTTCCATTGGTGATTTCAACTCAGGCTGCAGACTCCTAACTTGCCTGTGGGATCCCCTCTCTCTTCAATTTTTTTCCTTTCCTCTTTAGCTCCTACTAAACTGATTCTGTTTAATGAAAAACATTTAAACTATTTCTTTGACTCATTACCAATGCCTAAGAAGGTCTCATCTTCAAAACTAAGCAAATATATTAGCGAGCGTTCTACAAAAGTAATTTTTTTCTCTCCCTCTCTCTGAGAGTTATTTTGGTGAGTTTCAAGTATTTAAAAAATATGTCATACACACATTTTCTCATTATATCCTCTCCACAACTCATTTCATGGCCTTTCATGTAAGATAGAGATTTGGAGTTCAGTTATTGGTATTATAAAATGGATAGTTTAGATTCACAAAATGAAATTATCTAGTTATAAAATGCATTCTGTCCTGTTTCTAAATTTTTGGTTAGAGAATTGGTCAGATGCATTTGATTAATTTCCAATGTGAAATTCAATGATTAAACTTAAGAGAACATAACTGGATGTTTGAAAATGATTACTTCTTATGAACTATTTCTGATATTCCTTTACATATTGTTGTGTGAGTCTGAGTTCAGTCTGCTGGGAGGAAAACCACATAGTAATTTGAACTTATAAATTTTAATATAGATAATGATTTACTACAATGGGTTTGGAGTAACAGAGAATTAGCTAAGAAGAAGCATAAAGAATCCTAAAGAATATAGAAATAGTAGACCAAACCAGTCAGTCTGAAAGGAAATCAACCCTGAAGATTTATTGGAAAGACTGATGCTGAAGCTAAAGTTCCAGTATTTTGGCCACCTGATGTGAAGAACCAACTCATTGGAAAAGACCCTGATGCTGCGAAATATTGAAGGCAGGAGGAGAAGAGGGTGACAGAGGATGAGATAATTGGATGGCATCACCGACTCAATGGACATGAGTTTGAGCAAATTCTGGGAGGTAGTGAAGGACAGGGAAGCCTGGCATGCTGCAGTCCATGGGGTCACAAAGAGTCAGACATGACTTAGCAACTCAACAAGAGAGACCTCTGAAGCAGCTTCTTCTCCTGTGGTTGAGATAGAGCACCCAAGTTTGATTCAGACTCTATTGGAGAGGGCAATTGTAGGTTTCGGAAAGCAAGGAAGTTGCCATGGTGCCGTCAGAACTTACCAGTAGTCTGCTTGTTGGAGCTTGCTGGGATTGTGCTCTCTGGGGACCAGGGAAAGCTGTTCAAGGGAATGTGTCTTATTGGAGGTACTCTAAACAAAACTGCCTGGGAATATGCAGCTGCTGGCCATGGAGGACTGCTGGCTGCCATGCAACACACTGTACTGGAGAAAGTCACAGGTCCTGCGGTAACTGGCCACTAGAGAAACTACTCAGATTGCAGAAGCCTGTCATATAAGCACACCATAAAACCTTTATTCCTGCACTGCCTCTCCAGCATCCTCTCCAGGCAAACTTTAATGTCATGGCAGCAGTCAAATCTAAAATAGTCAAAGGACCCAGATGTATCTTTAGGGAGCAGATAGGTTGAATTTGGAGCTAAAAGGCAATAAATTGATAATTGTCACTGTTACTTTCAGATATTCCAGGACTGTTGATTTATATTAAAAGGAAGAGATTGGGAGAAGGAATAGGTGAGATAAAAAGTAATACAGGATGATTTAGGGAGATAATTTTGAGGAGTTTGGAAAGCGGAAAAGAGGTTGTGGAG